CTATTTGGTGGTGGAATGCCTATCATATGAGGCATCATTTGAATTGGGGATTGCTGCATAAATTCGCGCTGTTGAACCCACTGTGTGGCAAGAGCACCCCAGTCAACTAGAAAAGAGAACAAATGAGTTTTTTTGCGTTTGTCCAACTGTGTTTGTGCTTCATACCATTTTGATTTGGATTAGAGTTGTATGTATCTTTTAGAACTTGCCAGTTGTTGTACATTTTTCACATATAAATCATGTAACTAAAAAGCCAAGCGACAAATATTCGTCAAGATACATTAAGTCGTTTCTTTCATTCAACTTAGATGGACATGTACTGCAGGGCCATTTGTTAGAAAGAAGGTTCAGCAACGAAAGGTGTTTTGGAGTTTTCACGTTAATTGGATGAAATTTCCGTCTCCCTTTGCTGTATGGTTTCATGTATCTCAATTTTAAATTTATAGTGCTATTACCTTCGATTTTAATTTCAAATAAATTAGATTGTAGCATTGCAGATTCACAACATAATTTAATTGTGCAACAGTATGTTGATTTTCTTTTGCATTCGGCGGCTTGTGAGTATGGCGTTTTATACCAATAGGAATAGCTGAGAGACCTTGATATATATATATATATATATATATGATATATGTTACTCTGCATTGGTGTATCGTTTTCACTTCCAGATCGCTACTTTGGTCTGGGTATTTTTAAGTTTGGCATAGCCAATCAGTGCCCATACATACACAAAATTCGTTTGTCATTTCTGAAATTCATGTTTATTCGGCTGCCGATAGATGAGGAGGTATGGTCTGTTAGTCTGTCTAGGACGAAGTTTTGCTTGATATTAAAAAAGGCCCATGTTTAATTCTTTCGTTTTTTTCAGAATTAATATAATCCGGTACTAGGAGTCATATTTTGTCAATCATCTGAAATTCGATAACAGCAGCTTTAAACATGATATTTTTATTTCAATATTACCGCCACAAGCAGCGAAACGTTGACGTTAATATAGAAATAAAAATATCATGTTTAAAGCTGCTATTATCGTAATAATCATCTTGTTCAAATTATTATCTTATATCTCATGGCCTTTATACGACTACTGATGCTGATGCGACCGTCCACATTTGGACTGAGCACGTAAACAATGTCATCCGTAGATTCGTCCCACTGATGTCAGACCCTATATTCTCTTCTCTCGCCTTCTCCAGAGTTTGCATATCTTATCTCTATCCGTTACCAGCGTTTTCGTAAACTTAAACGCCGTTATACTTCTCTTAAGCTTGCTGAGTTCCGTAAAGCAATACATCTTGTCCTTTCTCTTTATCGTTGTGAAAAATCTTCTTACTTCCGATCTCTCTCTTCTTCATTTTCTGATCCTCGCAACTTTTGAAGCTCTATCAAGAAACTATCCTCATCTTACTCCACGTTACCTCAGTCTTTGTTATTTCGGATAAAGCTGAGCTTTTCAATTTTCATTTTTCCTCTTGTTATTCTTCTCTTCAGGAGCAAATTCCTCCCTCTACCACTCCAGATTTACCAACGATGGATAAACACCTTGAATTTTCCATACGAGATATTGAGCGTTTACTTCAGATATTGAATAAAAAGTCTACTGGTACCTTCACTTCATTTTTCATCTGTGTCTTTCTACTAGCAATTTTCCAATTTTATGGAAAACTGCATTCATTGTACCTGTTCATAAAAAAGGCGCTCTTGCCGATATTTCTAACTATCGCCCTATTTCACTTCTTTCTGTTGTTTCTAAAGTGTTTGAACGTCTAGTTTATAATTTTATTTTTTTTCATTTCTCTAAACACTTTTTTTGAAAATAAACAGTTTGGTTGTCGCCCTAAACATTCTACTCCGGATGCTTTGTTGTTTTTATCTTCAACCATCTTTAACTTTTGAATGCTGGTGTGAAGTGTGTTGGTATGTCTTTTGATTTTTCTCTCTCTAGAATGGATCTCTTTTATTTCTTATTTTTATTAATGATCTGTCTCGGTCGCTTCCACCTAACTCTAAAATCTGTCTCTTTGCTGGTGTTTTCTTGATTGTTCCTCTTTGCTCCATAGAGTTAGTTAAACAGAAGGAAATTCAGTCTTGCTTTAGAAGAATACTGCTTAGAATATTTATCTTTTTTTTAGTTTTACTCCAATTTTTAAAAGCATGAAAATTTACTCCGAAACTTTTTGACTTCCCCCCTCCCTCCGAAGTATCGGGGCGCCTCTGCGTACAAATGCTGAAACTAAAACTGTGATCCCTCTTCCCGTCATATGAAAGCGACGATAGTGTGTTTATTATTGGAAACAGATCATGCATTTTTCTTTTGTATGAAGGAAAACTCTCTTAGGTTGTTAATTACTTTTCGTCGATATGTTTAGTTCTGCTACTTTATCAAAAAAGTAAGAAGAACGATGAGTTTACTGAATTTGCTTTTAGAACTATAAATTCGACAACGTCTGTAACACATCCTTGTAGTACAAATAACAATGTCCCTATTTTGCGATCCTGATGATTTTTGGCTTTGTCCATTTGACACAAATCATAAAGTCCTTGCAAAACGATTTCAATATCATTTAATGCGTTGTGCTAAAGTAAAGTGTATTTTTTTCTAAATGGCTTTTGTGTACATACTACGTTTTATTTTAGGCAAATCCACATATACGTCGAGTTAAATGTTCATTTAATGCCACTCATCTTACAACACCAGAAGAACTCATCAAACATATGAGCCAGTGTCCCGATAATGGCGCAGTACATAATGCGTCTGCTGCTGGTTTACGAGAATTTAGTGAGTTTATCTACAAAAGTTGTGTAAATGTAACGAGATGATATACTTTTTAGATTGGAATAATGACAATTCTACTAGACAAATGGCGTATATTGCCGATGGTGAAGATTGGGACAAAGATGTGCATCGTATTGAACCATTCACAGAAGAAGAAATACAACAAATGAATCGGTACGAGTGACTCTTATAAATCGGCTATTAATTCTTTGACACTCTACCTTCTTATAATATTTAGGGATAATGAATGGCTACAGAAATCTGTTACACCGTGAGTACCTCTTTTACTTAAGAGGGGAGTTCTCCCATCCGGTTTTGTTACCAGCTTGCAGTGGACACTTCCAAGTGTATGTTCTAAAGATTTTGTCGCCTTGCGGACTTACAGATTTTTAATTAAAAAAGTTTAATGGTTTTTCGAATTTTGTTGCCATATTTTTTTTAAACTTTCATTAGAAACTTCAGTTATAGATATGAAGAGTTCGTTCTAGCGTACTTCGATAGAGAGCATTAAATTTTATAAGGAAAAAAACTCAGAATAATTATCAGATGAAGTTTTGACGTAAAAAATTTTAACTTTTACCCCCTTGGTGGGATTTCAGAGCTAAAAGTATTTTGAAAGAAACCTTACGACTAGTTTCGCTCGAACCAAGCATTTTGGACCAAAACTCTGAGTACAAAAGTTGCACAGAATCGAATTTCTGAGTCCCTCACGAGAGTTTTTTTCAAATTTTCATTTTGTGAATTTTTAAATTAAATTTTATGTTTTTTCAAACTTTTAAATTTCACAGTTTTTCAATTTTCTACCTTAGGAAAATGCTTTTTAAGGGACTCAGAAATTGGATTCTGAGCAACTTTTGTATTTGAGTTTTGGTCCGAAATGCTTGGTTCAAGCGGAACTAGCCGTAAGATGTGGGAAAAAATCTTCGCTGTGCCTAAAATC